CTTACCCCAGAAAAATTAATTTAATATCATGTGGACCGATGGCCCACGTATCAGATATTAAACTGATAAGAACAGATACTACACTTGATCTTAGCCAAAAGGCCGAGAAAGGTATGAGACTAACGCTCGTCAAGCCTTGCCTTTTGACAGAGCTCATTTTGTTGACCTTTGACTTTCGTTCCTATGTGGGACTGTTGCAATCAGTCCTTGTTCCTGGACATTCACCATTCCAATTCACACTTCTGTCTGTTCTCGACAGCTAGTGCCATCAACGGTGTGGTGGAGAAAAACTGTCTATGTGCTTATTTTCTTCCCCAGATTGATGTCAAATGAATGTCAGCTCCACTTGTTTAGTTTGGAACTTAAAACGTGCAAGAGATGGTGCTGTCACATTTTGCATCACCTCCCACCTTCCACTGCATTGCCAGTGTGCACTTTGTTTTCTTAACTTCTCCCCAGCCACCTCTTATGCGTTTGTTTGTCTTTGACAAGCTTGGCCTTAGAGTTCCTTAGATCGCAGCTCTTGAACATGATTGTTTTACTCCGATTTCAGATCTTGTGAGCTTTCCCTGAATTTGGGACGTAGGATGGCCAATACCCGATACATACATTGGACGCCCTCCAACACTCCAAAGAATTTGCGCTGCCCTTTTTGTCATGAGCAGTACATACCACAGACATGGCTTCAATTCCAGTAGTGTCGTAAGATAATGCTCGTTGTCTCAATCCATTTCGCCACCTGGCAAAAGAAAAAAAGGGCACATCGATGATCTGCAACTAGAACCCTGTCGCTGATCCTATAGAATTTGTTTGATTTTTTGGTACAACCGGTGTTCAATAATGAGAAAATCAAACTGTCCCCTATCGGATCAAATAATGCAGGTTTGCCTAAGGCATTCTATATGAAGCTTAAATCACCACACCCTGTTTTAGTTCGAACCAATCAGTCCCAGTGATGAGAACAAGCCTAATGACTCAGAGCTACTATATTATTCAACAGAGAAACCAAACAAACCGCACTTCTTTCAACTTCTTGTCATTTTTCTCTAAAAAAAGAGTCCCGCCTTTTCCAGAGAAACAACACTTGAAACTCATACTATCACTGGACAATGCATCTTTAGCTCAACTGACAAAAGAAAACCGTGGCCACTCCTCATTGTTCTATCTTACCTCCAACTTCTTCGTCCCCCTCTTCATTGTCACACACCTTTATCCCTGGCTCAAATGCTTTAAATAGAGTCACCTGGTCAACAGTGCTTGGAGTTGCATTACAAATCGGAGGAATCTGGTGAATAGAACAGCCAAGTGGAGCAGCACAAATATAAAATATACATATTGCGAGTTCGTGGAAGAATCAGAGTATGGTGATGTCCTGCCACTGAAGAGCCTTGGAGGAAAGCGTTAAATCACTGAAATTCGAAAAGGGCATCAGAGATTGGACAAAAAAGCTGCAACGGGCGGTGAAGAACTCGAAGGGGAGATTAGCTGTTGGGTTGGTCAACATGAAAATCCTCCCATTCATCGCAGTAGAGAGGTCAAAACATGAAGATGCATGTGGACAAACTTTGAGGTGAAAACTAAGATGTTATTTTCAATCAAATATGAGCTGATGCTTGTTAGACGGGGTTGGCTTCAGTTAATGTGCACAGTGGTATGTCTTAGAGAGAGCAGCAAGATTACAAGTGAAATCTTCTCTTCCTCACAAGTCTCGAGACAGTTTAGTCCTAAATTCGACTTTCAGGTCTCGAGACCGTAGCCAATTCATGTCCCTACAAGTTCTATGGAGATAATAATGCAACATAGCAGGATAAGAACAACCGGTAACACCAGGACTGACACAGTAATCTAAATTCAAAAATTCCTGACAGTACCTCAAACCAAAAACACCAATCTAAATTCAAAAGACGATCTCCATGCATCTTAAAATCAAGACCACTTCAGTCACCAAGTATGTAAACTTTAAACTAGATTTGGTGGGGTGCGGCAGGCCAAGGCAATAGTGCAACGCCAAGGCGACGCGCGAGAGCCCCAGCAGCAAGCTACCGTGGTGGACTCTCCCCTCGAAAAATTAATTTAATATCATGTGAACCGATGGCCCACGTATCAGATATTAAACTGATAAGAACAGATACTACACTTGATCTTAGCCAAAAGGCCGAGAAAGGTATGAGTCTAACGCTCGTCAAGCCTTGCCTTTTGACAGAGCTCATTTTGTTGACCTTTGACTTCCGATTCTATGTGGGACTGTTGCATTCAGTCCTTGTTCTTGGACATTCACACTTCTGTCTGTTCTGTACAGCGAGTGCCATCAACGGTGAGGTGAAGAAATACTGTCCGTGTTCTTACCTTCTTCCCCAGATTGACGTCAAACGTCCGCTTCACTTGTTTAGCTTGGAACTTAGAATATGCAAGAGATGGTGCGTTGCATTTTGCAGGAGAGCTTCCACTGCACTGCCAGTGTGCACTTTGTTTTCTTGAGTTCTCCATGGCCACCATTATGTGTTTGTTTGTCTTTGATAAGTCTTGGCCTTAACTTTCTGCAGATCGCAGCTCTTGAACACGATCGTTCCGATTTCAGATCGTTTGAGCTTCCCTGAATCTTGATCGGGCCATAGGATGGACAGTACCCCAACGAATTTGCGCAGCCATATTTGTCATGAGCAGTACATACCCCAGAAATGGCTTCGATTCCAGTAGTGTCATAAGATAACTGCTCAATGTCTCAATCCATTTCGCCGCCCGGCAAAAAGGAAAAAAAGGCACATCAATGATCTGCAACTAGAACCCTGTCACTGATCCTGTAGAATTTGTTTGATCTTTCGCTACTACCGGTGTTCTATGATGAGAAAATCGAACTAGAACAGCCAAATGACTCTGAGCTACTATAATATTCAACAGAGAAACCAAAGAAACCATGCTTCCCTTCAACTTCTTGTCATTTTCCACCAGAAGAAAGTCCATCTTCTCTAGAGAAATAAAACATAAAAGTTAAAACTCATACCATCACTGTACAATGCATCTTTAGCTCCACTGACAGAAGAAAACCATGGCCACTCCTCTCATTTCTCTATCTCACCTCCAACCTCTTCTTCCTCCTCTTCATTGCCGCACTCTTTTTATCTCCTGACTCAAATGCTTTAAATAGAGTCACTTGGTCAACAGTGCTTGGAGTTGCATAGGGAATCGCAGGAAAATCTGGTTACTAGGACAGCCCAGTGGAGCAGCACAAATATAAGACATACATATTGCGAGTTTGTGGAAGAATTGGAGTATAGTGATATCCTGTCACTGAAGAGCACTGGTAGGAAGTGTTAATTCGAGAAGGGATGTCGGAGATTGGAAAAAAGAGCTGCAACGGGCAGTGAAGAACTCGTAGGGTAGATTTGACGTTGTGTTGGTTAAGAACTAAGCATGAAAATCCTCCCACTCACCACAGTAGAGAGGTCAAAACATGAAGATGCATGTGGACAACCTTGAGTGAACACTAAGATGTATTCAATCAAATATGAGCTGATGCTTGTTAGACCGGGTTTGCTTCAGCTAGTGCGCAAAGTGGTAAGTCTGGTAGAGAAGCAGGAAGATTACAAGTGAAAGCGTGGTAAGTCTGGTAGAGAAGCAGGAAGATTACAAGTGAAAGCGTGGTAAGTCTGGTAGAGAAGCAGGAAGATTACAAGTGAAAGCTTCTCTTCCTCACAGGTCTCTCAAGATTGTAGGCAATTCGCGTCCTTACGAGTTCAGTTGAGATTGTTTAGTCCTAATTCCAAAACTCTAAAATGCAACATAGCAGGATAAAAAGAACAGACTGATCATTAGAACACTTGATTTTTGATTTTTGACAGTTCCTCAAGACCACTAAACATTAAACTAGATTTGGTGGGGTGCGCCAGGCCAAGGCAGCAGTGCAACGCCGAGGCGACGCGCGAGAGCCCCAGCAGCAAGCTACTGTGGCGGACTCTCCCCCTAGAAAAATTAATTTAATATCATGTGGACCGATGGCCCACGTATCAGATATTAAACTGATAAGAACAGATACTACACTTGATCTTAGCCAAAAGGCCGAGAAAGGTATGATTTGGGCAGTGGACAGGCCTTGCCTTTTGTCAGAAGCTCCTTTCATTAATCTGTCAGTCCATGTTCTATGTGGGACTCTTGGATAGAGTCCTTTTTTCAGACATTCACATTTCTGACGACAGCTTCGCTTGTTGTGTTTGCAAGCAGAATGGAGCAGACAGACATGGCGTTGTTCTTGTTGCATTTCATGTCACCTTTCCGTTCCCTTGCCTCGCTCCTCAATCAGTCGTGTCCGATTGATAAATTAAGCATGACTCGTTCCTGAGAACTTCCGGTTATCACGTCGAGTCTGTTTTCCGAGAAAATTTACTTCTTCAGGTTTACCAAATCAAATAAGGCTCTCATAGTTCTTGTCAGTGAAGCATGGATTTCCAGTTTGCCTCGGTTTTGTTAAGTCCTTGACCATCGAACATCGCTCGGCCATTTTGGCAAGAAAAATAGGCTCGAATGATATCACTTTACCCCAATCTCGGCTCGATTTCGGGCCTTCCCTGATCACTGAATCTTGAGCAGAAAAAAAACCAATGGAGAGTAGCAGATACACGAGACACACACTCTGCCAACGAAGATGCTTCTTTTGTCTAGGAAGTGAACTGGATGAGCAATACGTCAACACCTATGTACTACATTTCTACAATGGCAATGACCGGTTCTGTATCTCGATCAATCTCATTTCCTAGCGACGGAAACATAGATCTGCAGCAACAATTTACTGCTGATTCTTAGACAGTTCAGTCTGTTGCTTTTTACAAGAACTCAGCATTGTTCTGCGAGAAAATTCATATCTCCCTTAGAGGTCGAAGTTATCGGGTTTTGCGGGTGATTTTCACGCGGGAATATTCATTCATACCCAGGCAGTCATTGCGAGACAAGTAAGTGTACAACAACAATTTGTGATAAATGACAAGGCAAGAACCATCAGACTAGGCTAAAAGCTCAACTCACATGGCTTTCTTCTTTGTCTGACCAATCAGTAGCAATACTAGAACGAGACAATTAACCCTTAAATTACTATTATCTCGTTATAATCAATCACGCTTCTCTTCATCCTATTGTCCTTTTCCTCCAAGAACAATCCCATCTTCTATACAGAATCTCTCCCCATGAGTCACCATCCAGTTTTCTTGAGAAAAACACTTTAAAAAAACTCCTAGTCCTCGTTTTCGCAGTACTGCACAATACATCTTTAACTCAAGACTGACAGAGAGAAACAACCATGGCCACTCCTCTCAATCTCACCTCCAACTTCTTCTTCTTCATCTTCACAGTCACGCTCCTCTACGTGGCCTACACGATCCCTAGACACGAGCCGAAAGAGACCAACCTGGTCTTCTACGTGCACGACTACCTGACCGGCCACGACGCGTCCGCCGCGACCGTGGCGGGGAAAACCGGGCCGGAGTCGAGCATCCTGCACTTCGGGACGATTCTGGTGGTCGACGACCCGGTGACCGAGGGGCCGACCATCGAGTCGAGGGAGATCGGGAGGGCGCAGGGGATGTACGTAAACTCGCAGCTGGACGGGAAGGGGCTGCACCTGGTGTTCTCGGTGATCTTCACCGACGGCGAGCACGAGGGGAGCACCCTGGAGATCCAAGGGGCCGATCTGTTCGCGATGAAGGAGAGGGAGTTCGGGGTCGTCTCGGGGACCGGCCAGTTCAGGTTCGTGAAGGGGTATGGGGTCATGGTCACAGAGTCCATGGACATGGCCAACTTGAGAGCTGTGCTCAAGCTGAATGTAACAGTCAAGCATTACTGAATATGGAGACAAGTGAAGAGATTGTTAATTTGCCTTTTTAATTTGAGTTGCTTTTCCAGTTTGGAGCTATCAAAGATAAGAGTGCCTTTCTTTTTTTACTTTTGTTATAAGAAATTGAAGCACGCGCCACAAGCATCACCGTGCATTTTCTCACTTTATGAAAGGTTGAATAAATTGTGGCCTGGCCACCAAGAATATAAGGTAGAAAAAAGATCGAATGATTTGTGGGGTAATATTGGTCCTCATTGATTAATTAATCATGTGCCACCGAAATAAATTGCTGGGAAAATATCAATTAAGGACCCCAAGTGGGGTCAAATTCTCAAAAAAGGGCCCAAAGTGAACATAGTATCAAATAAGGGCCCGACGCTGACGAGGGCGGCCTCGCCTGAGGCCGGCGACCTCCGCCGGCCACGGCTATGGCCGGCGGAGGAAGAGAAGCAAAAAAAAAGAGAAGGAAAAGGAAAAGAAAAAAAAACAGAAAAGGAAAAACAGAAAGGAAAAAATAAAAAAAAAATAAAAATTTTACTGTTCCGGTGTCGGAATAGTAACATTCTCACCGGCCGACGACCCAGGCCCTTATTTGAGACTTTTTGAGCACTTCGGATTCTTATTTGAGACTGATTGGGCACTTTAGGCCCTTATTTGACACTATGTTCATTTTGGGCCCTCTTTTGAGAATTTGACCACACTTTGGGTCCTTAATTGAAATTTTTCCTAAATTGCTGGTACAATTAGGGGTGTTAGCGGCCGGTTGTGTTCGGATCCCTATCGATTACCCGAGCTGATCCTGACATGAAGGGTATACGTTTTTTTTTTTTTTGGTGACCCGCCCCGAGACCCGACGTGTATAGAACCCGTACCGGAAAAAACGGTTCGGATTGGGTTGGGTTGGGTTATGGAGTTTTCTTTTTTGTGAATGGACTTTTGGGGTAAGGAGCCCAAACTGAAGCCCAACATAGTTTTCTAAATGCCAAACTCTATCGCAACTAGCGCATATGTCTGTGTTGTGCACGGGGAGGAAAATGAAATTGCAGTGTGAAAGTAATAAGAAAAATGACACAAATGGTTCCGAACTTTGGTCCAATATATAATGTGATCCATAAACTTTTAATTTGATCGATATGATCCCTGAACTTTATTTTAATGTGCAATGTAGTTCCCGAACTTTTAATTTGTTTAATGTGATCCTTAAACTTTTGAAATATTTTTGATATAGTCCCTGAACTATATAAAAATGTCTAATATTGTCCCTGAAAATATTAAACATTTTCATATAGTATAGGGAATAAATTTAATATGTACCAAAATTTGAGGAACTACGTTGAAAAAATTTAAAGTTCAAGTACGATATTGCACATTAGGTTAAAGTTCGGGGACCACATTATACATCGAGCCAAAATCTAGTGGCCACCGATGTCATTTTCCCAAAGTAAAAAAGGACATCGATGATCTATTGAAATGTTGATTTTGAGAATAAACTATAGTTGGTACTAAATTACTTTTTTTCCGAATATAACTTTGAAATTTTCAACCCTTCGGATATCAAAGCTAAATGTTGATGCAAAACAGACTTACCTTTACGGATTCGTTTTGACCGCTCGAATAAAGTAGGGAAAAGGAGCAATGTCAGGATTTTTTTTTCTTTGATTATTAATTTGCGTTTTCGCCGGCCGGGCTTTGAAAGGTGACATTGCACGACTTTTTACCGTCAAAGCCAAATTCTCCCAAAAAAAAAATTAAAAAAAAAACTAAAACCGATCTGGTGCGCTGAAATTGTTTGCTTTTGCTTTTTGCATTCTTCACACTAAAATTGACTATGCAGTCGGTAATGAGGAAGCGTTGACCGAATGGCCCCTTTTCTTTTCCTCCCAATTTCGGACATTAAAATTGTAAAGCATTGAAATTGAAATTTGAAAGTGAAGTACAAGGATATGGCTTGAGTGAAATTCACTTAATGCGTGGGACCAAAATTCGGTTCTTCCTGTGTTGAATGCACCTAACTCTCCCCTTTGCGCCCACCTAATTTGAGCTCCTCCTCTTTAACTCCCCCCCTACGCTCCACCTAATTCCGGTCAGCACATGAAATGATCATGTCGTGTTCTTAGATTGCGAATTAGAAACGGCATCTCTTTACGTCGATGACACCATCGGGTCGTGTTAAATGCACGACGCAAATTAAGAAAGCGAAATTCCGGTGGAAAGAGGGGAGATGGTAGACGAGAAAGCGAAAGAAAAACACGATCTTCCCATCGCAGGGGGGTGTTTGGCATCCTTTCGACGTCGTTGAGGTACTTTGCTCTTTTGAGCTGTAATTGTATTGATAACGACTATTTTGATAGGGCCTCAACTCATCATTCAAGGGATGAGAGAGTTATGTGAATCGATGGATGATCCTATAGCTATCAATTATGAACGGTCAATTTTAATGCTTCTTTAGAATGATTTTTCATTCGAGCTTTCTACTTTGTTTGAATCTTGCATCTCTTATAATCTAACATTTACTTAATTCGAGACCCCCAAAACCTTTAAAAATATGCAAATATTATTATGTTCTTCGCAATTTTTTTTGTAAAATTTAAATATTGCTTTCAGTCTCATCACCAATTGATAGTCAATATACAGGATGTTGCTTTTAATTTCAATCTAATCACGCCGATGACTAAATAAGATAGAATGCCATTTCAATTCTGTATCCATTCATTTCGAAATATCGGTAAACAACCAAGCATCGAAAAAGTACGGCGTTTTGCCATTCCAATTCGTAGTTTCGAATGGTTCGGAACTCCGTCTCGGAAGGCATCTAAGTTCGCAACATGAAATCACTACTGGAAAAAAAAAAATTCGTCCCGAGATATCGAAAAAAAAAAATTTCCTCAAGAATTTGATCTCCGAGTCAATTGACAACCTTATAAACCAAAATATCGAAATTTGGTCACGGACCACTCCGATCGAAACCTTACAAAGCAAGTCAAGTACGAGGGGCTGGCGCCGATTTCATGCGGACATTAAACAAAGTGATGTGGTTGGAGGAGTTAGGTGCGTTTGAATTGAATTATTTGAATATATGTATGCACAAAAGGTTCAAAGTGGCTTAGCTTGGCGTAGGGGAGTCGGCACAATTATTTCAACAGGGAAAGACAAACACAAATTAGGACGCCGAGCCCCCTAATCAGGACCGGACCCAATGAAAAATCACGACAGGATGTGCTTGTCTCGCGAAAAAAAATCGACGATTTCGGAAAACACATCCCTACAGACAATAGCCCGTGTTGCTTACGTAGATGGACGAGCAAATAAAGATATTTACAACCGTCGACGGGAATGTTTAGGTACGGATTGCTATTGATGACGAAAGCACTTTCTCTTAATTAATTTTTCTCGACGAAATAAACTAACATTTTTTTTTGGAAAATCCTTTCGAATTTGTTGATTTTTTGCTAACGCTATTCGGTACCCTTTTACAGACATGTGTATATCGACCAGCTTAATTTGTTAATAATTACAAACGTTGCATTTTCAATTGTTTTGATTCTTTTGATTCTTTCCTTTGAGCAATGTTTGACCAATTTAGAGACCAAAATTTGGAACGAGGCCACTTGCTTTGAATCACGCCGTGTTGGAGTAGGACTTCGTGTTTTTTTTTTTATCGTGGGAAAGTATTTGACGTTGGACCCCTGAATTGGCGTTTAATATTACAAAAATAGCATTCTACACGTGTTTTGCGCTTTTGTAACCTTTTTTTATTTTACAAAGGGCAAATGAAAATTGTCTACACTGAGTAATTTTTTTTTTTTGGAGGAGGGGCTGGAGTCTACACTAAGGTTGAAAAATATACGTTCGCTGTCCAAATCCTAAAAAAAAAATCGCGAGTTCAAACCTCAAACATTAATACCACGACTTTTCACACGAACTTAAAAATCCACCAACTTTTACTTGATAGAAAAAAGATACATTTTTATCCATGCGAGCTCATGCGGCAGACGATGACACCGTTAACGGTGCTGACGTGCACAACACGACTTTAAGAGCTAAAAGTAGTTTGCGCGAGTTGTGTATTTTGAAGTTTTTACATCGGGTAAAATTAAGATAATTTACCGCAATATAACGTGTTTTGTGAATAACCGCTCTCAAGAGATCTGGCCATATGAAATTACGCCATGCCGAAATTCATACATACGAAATTTAACCTCTCGACCTTATGCTACATCGATTGCTGAATTAAGCGGCTAAGATGATCAAATTCGGTTTGATAAAGAAGAAACTCATGAGGCCTTAATCGCTCCTTTCCTTATGGCATGCAAATCCAAGTCCAAACTTTAAGCAATTTCATCTTTTTTACATTCACGATAGAAATCCAAGTACAATCTAATTGAACATTATTCCGGAAATTAACCAATTTCTTCTCATAATTCATTCATCTCTCTCTCTCTCTCTCTCAGAACTAGCTCATTTAATTAGCAACATTATTGTGATAATTAGCAGTTCATCTTTAATTCATTCATTCATCTTTTTTTTTTTTTAAATCATTCATATTTCTCTCTCTCTCTCAGAACTACCAGCTCATTTAATTAGCACGCATTCGCGGATACGGTGGGTTCCCGAGAAATGTGAAAGGCCGTTTTGATTGATCGCTAGGAATGAAATCTTGATGGGGACGTGAAGCTACTCCTGGTAAGCCGTCCACGACATTTCAATGCGCACCCAAATGCACGTTCAACAGCAATCAAAGATGCACGTCATCATCTCGATGCGGGAAAACTTAAAAAAAAAAAAATTCATAAATTTATTACATTTAACGTCTATATCAATTTTATCATAAATATTTTAATTAAGTCAATTTAGTCATAATCTTTTTGTATTTGTGCCAATTAAGAGCATTTTGCCAATTTTGCCCGGAAATCGCTTACAAAGACGCCGACTGTCCTGCGTGGCATGACCGGCACTGATATGAATGATTTTTAGTAATTTTTTTAATTCAATTTGGCCGATGGGGGTCGCAGCTGAAAATAATAAAAAAGAAAGAAAAAATGAAA